CAAGGGTTCACGAGGGTGGGAGGGTTGGAGAGGGAGGGGAAAAAGAAGAGCTGATACCAAGGGCTCAAGTAGAAAGAAAATGTTTTGAAAATAATGATGGCAGCATATGTACAAATATGCTTGACACAATTGATGTATGATTATTACAAAAGCTGGAAGAGTCCCCAATAAAATGATTTATTTTAAAAAGTGAAAAAAAAAATACTTAGAGCTTTTAATAATGTTAATTTGGAAAAAAAACTCAGAGGTAATATCTAAGGCAAAGGAATAGTTTTCCCATGTGACAATGTATAGAAACCACAAAGTAAAATGATTATGTTTTAAGGATGTGGAAGGAATTCACAAGATTAAGTGATATAAGAAAAATCCAAATGAAGTCACAAAAGAAAAAGAAACAGCGAGGAAAACTAAACTATCAGAAATTTTAAAAAAACAAGCAAACAAAACCAAATTCACTGCTTTCAAGTCAATTGCAATAGAGCCCCTTTAGAATTGAATACAACTGACTGTGAGTTTCTGAGGCTTTAAATCTTTACTGGAACAGAAAGCTTCTTTTTCCTTTCTCAGAACAATTTGTGAGTTCAAACTGCTGATCTATGGTATATGGTTCACAGTCCATTGTGTAATTAATTCACTATTCTACCAATTTTGCTCAATCAAAATGAAAACTGAATTTTAGTCTTATTTGACTACAGATAGTCGTACTTTCTATCTATAACCATTACCAAATGTCTAAGTACTATAGAAACTAATAATACAGACCTACCCTCTGTATGTCACTTTGTCATTCTGTGGTGACATGTATATTGCAAGCTATGTCACTGGTATTTCATAAATCAGCAGCAAGGGTAACCATGAGTGCAAATCAACTCAACTGCAACCTTTTTCCTTTTAAAGTAAGCTAATCAAAAGATAGAAGTAGTAAACCAAAGAAGGAAACAAGGCAAGATGGCATGGTGACCAAGTAACACCGTGGGAGTCTAGAGGCTGCTCTAGGTGGAGGTGCAGGAGAGAATGAGCAGGAAATCAATGGGTCAGCTGATGCACTCCGCAAATGTAATCCCCCATCCCTGAGGCACAGGAAAATCAGGCTGTTTCCTTTCTTTTCTCTCTCCTTTGCTTAGCAGACAATACACACCCGGTCCATTAGCAAGGTATTAGAATGACAATTCCAAAAGAAACTGCAACAGTTGTGCATGAGACCGACTATAAATCCCAGACCCCAGAGGCTGCTCCCAGCTGAAGTACTGGATGGAGAGACCAATTCATTAGTTGTCCAACAACACCAACCCCTGGTCACCACTCCAGGCCCCTCAAACAATAAGCAACCTGCCTTCTGAGGAGGTAATTGCTTCATCCCTCCATCCCAGACCACATGGGTAGGTCACACTATACTACACTACCCCTACTTGATCACCAACAGTATCCAATCAGAGCGAACCCAGTCACCTCAGAGCTGACCCACCAGCGGTCTATTCAAGATAATTAACAAAAATCATAAGAATACAGGACTCTCAGTATTACCCAACCACCAAATCATCCCTCTAACTTTAATCTCAACCATATCCTGCTGTCCTAAAAGACCCCAAGATAGTAAAACATACTACCAGACACCTCTCCAACTGCTCTAAAGACCTCTGTCCTACAGTCCTGATTCCCCCCAGGATGAGGTCGATACCCAGCAGATCTTTTGTTGCCATGTTGTTACAGTGTATTCTTTCATTGCTATATTTTCCCCCTCCTTAAAAAAAAAAATAGTACACTATTCTTATAATTCATCCTTAATCAGGACTCCTCCATCTGTTGGTCTAGTTTAAGGACAGAGATACATATACATTATTTTACTTTTCTGCTTTCAATCTACATTTTTTTGTTTTCTAGACTTTCAAACCATCAACAATACACAAGTTAGCACCCACACTAGAGACAAAGCAACTGGGCAAAGCTTCGAGCACCAGAAAACATACATTAATAGCTCTTCCACTTTTACCCTAGAATTATTTTAATCCTTTTATATCTTGCCTCTCCCTTCTATAATTTAATATCTAGTCTTTCATTTCATAGCCCCTTTTATCTATCTTATTTTTCCTTTTTCTTTCTTTTTGTTCTTTTCATCAATCTTTCTCTTTTCTTCTCTTCCTTGTAAAACCAAAAACTGACAATATTCTAACAAATATTATTCCTTCATCACTGCAAAAC